GGCTGCAGGGGTGGCCACAGCCTACGCGAGCTCCTTCCCCTGGAAGGCCTGGGCACCCGGCCTGTGTGGGACTGAGAGCCGCTTCTGCCGGGCAGGAGGCGCAGCCCCGGTGCCCCGGGAGCCGGCAAGGCCGCCAGCAGCACGGAGGCCTTCGCGGGCCTGCTGCACTGCTCCTCGCTCAGCATCTCCATGGGGCTTTGTTTCATGAGGAAAACCAGTAGCCACGTGCAGCCTCTCAGAAGTAACTTGTCCTGCCGTGTCCTCAACAGGGTGAAATGACATGGGAAAAGGGTAAATGTCTCCTGGAGAAAGGTCTGTAAGAAAAGGGCAATATTTTGTCATTTTGTGTCTCTGCAAATTGTGGTACTTTGTAGGTTCGTTATCTGCTCTTCTGCAGGGATGTTTTGCTCTTCATGTTGTGCTCTTCATGTTGTTCTGCATACTCCCTGTTTCACACATTATCCCAAATACACATAGGTGCCAGCAGCTGGACTGATTAGATAAAAGGTCGGATTGATGAAATGTACAGAAAATAAATGACTAAATTATTTGCAATCGGCAACGAGCATGGATACATATGTAAGGTGATAGTCCAGAAAATAACAGGAATTATGTGTGGCTAGAGCAAACGTTACCCGACGTGAAAGAGATCCAAGAAGAGCCATGGTAGAATGTTTAATCCATACCATTCAACAGCAACAACTCTACAACTAACTTTATTTATGGTGTATCTTCTAGAGGCAGATGAAATGTTGTCAAGATGGACCAGAATTATTGCAGGGCAACGTTTTAAAAATCATGCATTATCTCCTGGAGTTGAGAGCAGTGAGGAGCTGTCTTCTAGATTCCCATTTCTGCCCCGAGTGCTCGAGCCCAACAGCTTCCTCAAAGACTTGAGCAGTCTGGTAGAAAACAGCCAGATACGTGTCCCTCCTTTCCCCGTTTCTTTGGTGATAAGTGATTGGTTTTAATTTTATTCTTTTTGTCTTCTGCTTGCCAGCTTCTGCCAGTACATGCCTGGCATTAAGCCCCTCCAGGGCGAAACAGGAGGAATGCACTTTTATCCCAAAGCACTGCTGAAAGGTGGCTCCGCTTCAGCTGTTGGGAATGTTAATGAATGGCTTAGACTCCGCTGAATATAGACTRCGGAGCAGCCTGCTCCCAGCTGCTTCCCTCGGCTCGGTCTGGGGCTGCATTTGTGACCCTCCGGAGTTTGCTGCTTCCCTCTGTCTGTGGCCATTGAATAAACTGTGTTTTTATCWTAATGAGTTAAATAGTGGAGCAAGGTGTTGGGGTTGGCTTTGTTGTTTGCCAGGAGCCGTTCTGTATGGGTGCTGGATCGCTGCTCCTGCGCAGACGGGCCTGAAATACAGGCTGGCTGCATGAATCACCCTGATGTGTAGAATTTAATTGCATTGTTTTACTTTAATCTTCTTCAAAGCACCAAGAGCTTTTGAGTGTTATATTTGGAAATATTCATTAAATGGTTTTGCATATGCTACAGCAGCATCTAAGCGAAATCACACCTTATCACCTTCCCGTGCTTTCCGCGTAATTCAGTTCATTAAGGCGTTTGATGTTGATTTTACATTGCCTATGATGGATTTTAGCTATACGTGGTGATGCCTCATTAAAACATTTATCGCTGAAGGCTTAAGAGTAGTCAGGGGCTTTTAGTGTTGCCTCCATTCGAGGGGACTTSATGGTTTATTTGGAGAGCCCAACAGATTTAGTGCTGTGCTTATCCCTTGACCCAAGTCAAGGTCCCTTTATCCGTTACAGAAAGAGGAAGAAATTCCCGAGTACCACAAGCCCGTGCTGGCCTCACGATGTTTTGAGGAAAAGTTTTGTATAAGGGCAGGGGAATGGAAAACTATTTCATAAAATCACATGCTGGTACCACCTAGGAATGGTGTTTAAAGCCAGGGGACCTTCCTCCTGCTCTAGGGCATCTTCCTGCCCAGGTGGGTGCACTAGTACCCATGCTTGGGCAGCCAAATGTTGAACCAGGTCAAGATGTTGCCTGTGGCTGACAGCTGTGCCCCCAAATCCTGTTTGTTTTCCTGAGCAGCTCTTGCATGGGCTCGCTGTGTGCTGCAGCAAGCAGCTAGTGCAGCAGCAGTGAAGGATGGGGGGCTGCGCAATTGCCTGAACACAACTCTGATCTGTATCTCTCCAAAAGCAGCTGATGTCTCTGTGGAGTAGTGTCCTTAGGTACTTGCACCTTGCAGAGAGCTTCTTAACGCACTTAAGTTTTTTGTCAGTAGGATGATGCTTCCTCCTGAATTCTGCGTGCCCCTTGATAACTCCCCTTGAGCTGCAGTCAGCGCCACTGCGAACATTAAATGATGAGTTAATGTGTAAACTCCTTGGTTTGCATCCTCATGGTTTTAGTGCATGGGCTAAAGAGGAGGGAAATCTCTGGGAAGATGAGTGACAGCAAAAATTAAAAGAGAAAATGCACCGGATGGGTAGGGTTTGCCTGCGAGACTGGTCTCATACCTTTCTGCAGGGTGGATGAGGTATCTCCGTTTTTGCTCTCCATTCCCTTGTGCTCCCTCGGTGGTGCCATGTGGGACCTGCTCTTTCCCGGGACAGAACTAGACAGCCCACAGGCTTCTCCTTTCGTAGCTTCAGTGACGGCGACAGGGCGCTTAGTTAACAGCAGAGGCAGCTGTGCGCGAGCACGAACCCAGCTGCGCCGGCACCCCGGGGCGATCCCAGGCCGCCGAGTGTCAGTCGACAGAGCCAATATTTCCCACACGCTTTTCCCCGGCCTCTCTGTAAAGCCGGGCTTTGCAGCGTGCCAGCGCGACGGGCGCGCCGCCGATGCSGCGTGTGCGAGGGCACGGCGGCCTGTGCTGCCGCGGCACCGCTCTGGCTGCAGCACCTGCGTGTGCCCCGTGAACTCCTGCACCCGCAGCTCTGCCGCTGCGATGGAGACCGCTTTAAATAAGCGCGCGCTCGGGGTTTGCCTGGACATGATGTAATGAGATAATTGCAGAACCATTTGGCTTTTAACCGCAGACATAACCTTTTTTTTTTTTAAAATGTGCTCTATTTAGCTTAACTAAATAAAAAGACATTAATCTTCAGTCGCTACTACTTTGCCCAGTAGTTGAGGAATTTCATAGCTCGATTGGTTGACACACAACTTCCCCTCAATTTAGGAATTTCACTGTTGTTTTTAGCCGTCTCCAGCAGGAGGCTTTTTATCTGCAGGGAATCCTTGGATTTTCTTACCCCTTTCCCAGTTCTGGGGTGGCTGGGAAATTTCTCAGTGCTTGCAGGCAATGCCTATGCACATCTTCTCTGCTGCTTAATTTTTTTTTTTTTTTTTTTTTTTTTTTAATTAACAAGGAAAAAAAAAGTTGAAGAAAAAATTGAGCCCTTTGACAAGAGTACAAAAAAAGAAGCATTTACTGATTCTTAGAGCTTCTTTTGGGGTTGATTTCCCAGAGATTCTTGTTTCTAATGTTGCAAAATTTGATAATTTTCTTGTTTTGGACTTAAACTTTGCGAGACAGCAAATATAATGTGTTCAAATTCACATAAACTGTTGGATGGTCTAAAAGTTCTTATGAAGCTGTTTGCCATCATCTGCCTTTAAAGACATGTGCACCTTATTAATGCAAGATAATGACCGTGTTAGTGATGACAAATATACCTATATTTATAGGATGCAGTAGCTGTTTGCTCCCCTCTGCTGGGAGATGAGACTGGGTGCTAGCGCTTAGTAACTTATCAGGTAAAATTCATGTAGTAGAACTGATAACCACATCTTATTTGGATTTCTCAAAAAAGAGAATGTTGTGCCCAGATTGTGCCTCGTGGAAGAAATTGTACACATTTTTAACCAAACCAGGTACTGTTTAACCACTTTTACAAGGGAATTCTGTGCTGAAATCACCACAGATTTCTTGAAGTCACAAGAAAACAGAGGTGTCATACAGGGAARGGCAGCTTGTTTCCTATTAGGTGCAGGCTAAATATTCTGAGGCTGAATAAACAAGCAAGGAGGATAAAGATGAGGTAGATTAAATTTGTGCCTCGATCACAGGGCACAGCAGAGATCCATCCACCTGTGAAGCTTTTCTGGCAACCAATATGAAGGTTTAACTGAATCATGCTGGAATAACTGTGGTGCCCCTTGTTTTTAGAATGGAAGTGAACTGGATGCACTTAAATACATTCAACATACAGTTACTTTGCAGCTCTCAGTTGATAAGAAGGAGGGCAGAGAAGGGTCTGGGTTTTGTTACCTCCATAGCAGATGCTAATAAAGATATTTAGGCCTTGACRGGGGGGACCGTTGTGTCGATGCCTGAGAAGATGAGTCTGGGTGAATCTTTCCTTCTGTGTCAAGCACAGTGGGGTTGCCCCAGGCTGTGGCAGTGAGAGGTGTGTGTGTCTGAGGCACTTGCCCATCGCCACTGTCCTGCAACTTTCTCTGCAGTTCTGGGAAGGCAGGTTGCTCTCAGTCAATACTGAGCAACTGAAACATCTTTTTTATCACAAGCAAACAGTAATTATTTTATAGTAAAAGCGRCTATTTGGGAAGCAGTTCCACGAGGTGAGTTTCTACCTGGTTGTCTTGTGATTAAAAGGATTCTGATGGTCCCYGTGGCCACTGGCCAAGCTGCTCCGGCAGTCCGTGGTTTTGGGGAGAGTTCAGGAGGGAGACCAAGACATGAATGAGGATGAAGAACCCCTGAACGCCACYCTCACCCCCAAAGCTCTGCCATAGCCCCGGCACGTTTGATCCACGGTCCTGGTGCACAGCGTTTGTGGGGGACAAGGGCTGAGCTCACCCACCTGCAGACTTGTCATTCCGCCCATTTCTCTTTGAAGACACCTACAACCRTGTTGCTTTTAAGGAGTTTAAGCAGTTCTCGTGTAAAAACAGAGGAGTTGTCACAATGTGATTAGTATTGTCTTTTTAATTGCAGCCATGATGGAACTGATTATTTTTCCTTTTTTTTCCCTTACGTGTCACACAGGTCATAAACATTGATGGAACGATGAGGAAAACCCTGCTGGAAGATAAGCTTCCCCACATATTTGGGTTCACACTGCTGGGAGATTACATCTACTGGACGGACTGGCAGAGACGGAGCATTGAAAGGGTGCACAAGATCAGGGCCAGCAGAGACATCATTATTGACCAGCTGCCAGACCTGATGGGCCTCAAAGCAACGAGTGTCACCAAAGTGTTTGGTAAGCACAAGCGGTCAGAGACTGGATTTAGAGGAGTTTCTGGATGTATTTGCTTCCATTAAGGCACTTTCTAGCACTTGCAATAAGAACTGCTGTGGTCTTGTATGCTTAAATGATTTTAAAAGGATTTTTTGTGCCTTTTGGGAAAGCATCTTATTTCAAACAAAACATTTGCTTCTGCTTTTATTGACCCTCTACCTAAGGTTCTGTTACGCTGTCTTTGACTTTTTGTGGAAGGAGACAGGGTTTGAATTTCATTTTTGTCTCCAATGTGTAGAAGGTCTGGTGTCCTTACTTCTAGGGCTCAAAAAAATCCTCCATTTTCTGGTGTTCTCTTCTCCCAGTACATTCCACAGTAGCTACATGAGTGCTCTTCAACTTGTGGTCTTCTGTGTAGAGCAGGAAACTTCCATACTCTGGCCTCAGAGCTTGGGTCTGGAAAGGGGTCGTTTGGGAGGAAACTCGCCTCTTAGAAGTTTGTCTGCCTCTCATGAGTGGGTCACTGGAACAAACCCATCTGATCCATTGATTTCCAATGGTTCTAAACAAACCTGTGTAAGCTAAGGCATCAGGCTGAAACACTGTGAAAGGGAGCATGAAAAGAAGCTTGGTTGAGACTGATCTTGGAGATTTCCTTGTGGCAGCAGTCTTTAAATAGCCCAATCCCTAGTTCCCTTGATGGAGAAAGGTGCTCCTTTGTCTTTTGACACTTGTTTCTACTCTGCCATCCCCTCCCCTATTAGCTGTTTTTGTTCATGTGGAGAAAATTCAGTGTGAAAGCGCGGTGATCTTGTTGGAATTGCTCCCTCTAATGAATCTCAGCATTAAATGAAGTAGCTGGGAGAGAGTAGCAGTTACCTGATACCTAGCTCTGCTCGCTATTGTGTGTCGCTGACCGGGAGCCCGTTTTGACTGACACTTTCAAAGGGATACAAGGGCTAGCTACTTGGCTAGAAATGGCCAGATTAAACATACATGTAATGTAGCATTAAAATCTTTTGAAAATTAAACTGCATTTWCATTCAGGCTATCCCTTTCTTCTTTTTTCTTTTCCTCCTCAATGCCCCAATATCTGTTTCATTTTGTTTTTAAGGAACTAATCCCTGTGCGGAGAACAACGGAGGCTGCAGCCATCTGTGTTTCTTTACACCCCAGGAGACCAGGTGTGCCTGTCCCATTGGCCTCGAGCTGCTGAGCGACATGAAGACCTGCATCATTCCTGAAGCCTTCCTGGTGTTCACCAGCAGAGCAGCGATTCACAGGATCTCCCTCGAAACCAACAACAATGACGTTGCTATCCCTCTTACTGGGGTCAAGGAGGCATCTGCTCTCGATTTTGATGTGTCCGATAACCGGATCTATTGGACTGATGTTAGCTTGAAGGTATTGCTGACACGTGCATGCCCCAAATAGAAAGTCACGGGGCAGTTCTTTTGATCTAACAAAGGTCCCTGTTACATGATCTGTCGTGCAGTTGCTAATGTTGTCATTGACTCGCATCCAAGGAGACTCTTGGGGATGGAGGCGGTTGCATTGTTGAAGGCCCAGTTGGGAGATGGGCACGGTCCCACTCCAAATAAAACTCAAGTTGGTGTCTGCTTGGGCYGAACATCTAAAGCTTGGGTGCTGTGTGTGTTGCATCTGTGTAGGAGAGCTGTGCTCATGCCACGTAGCAGGGAAACTGAAACCTCAAGCTTGGCGACCTCCTGAGCTTGCTAACCCCCTCCAGTTTCAACTTGGAAGCCAACCTTATTCAGCATTAATGTTTGGCAAGTGAGGCTTGCAGTGGCTCCAGCTTGGTGCGATTCAGGCCCCAGAGGAGGCCGGGGAGCTTGCCTAGTCCGTGCTGCGCCGTGCCCCCGGCTCCATGGCGGAGTGTTCCCAGCAGTCTGAAATTCAACGTGACACGTCTGGTTCATATCCAAGAACATGCTTAAGAGAGCGTGTGCAATTCATCAGTGTCACTTAACTTCTCGAAGTGAACAAAGTAAGGGTAGAAAATGGGGACTCGGTTCCTCTGTTCAGCCTCTTTAATAGGCTTTCYGTGAGCAGTCAAAGTTTCCTTGCCAGTGTGGCTTGGCCATAATAGGGCAGAGCTCGCTTGCAGTGCCGGCGCTGCTGGTGCACTTTCCAGAGCCGCTCCGAAGACGGATGAGGGCTGCGCTTCAGCATTAACTGTGCTGTGCCCGGTGCAGGTACTGCTCCTCTAAGGACACTGCCAAGGTGATAAATCAGTATGCTGCAGGCCCCCTTATTAAATAAATCCTCCACAAGCATGTGGAGAACTGCAGCCGGGGCTGCCTTAGCCATTTATAGCAGAAAATACCTTCCTTCCACCAAAGCAAGGAGTAGGTCCCAATGCCGCTTTGCACAGAACTGAGAAGCGTTTCAGTTGCTTGTGACCTCCTGAGTCATCCAGTATTTTCACACGTGAAGTGAGATGTGTTTCCAAGACTTAAAGAATTAACTGCTTTTAAAAAATAGATGGGAGAGAGGAAGAAGGGGCAAGGAAGAACATGCAGATGCGTAATGCTTTCTGAAAATCATGTCCTTTAAGATGTCTTGAACTGGTCATCAGAAGCTGTTAGCTTTTCTAAAAACAGGCATTTTTATCTTGTGAACTGATGCATTCTTTTTTGACATCAGAAACTTATTTTTAAAAATGTAACACTGAATTACTTTTATCACTCCTTTTTTGTACACTTCAYAATCACTTCTTTTGATTTTGGTGGGGTATCTATAAAGCACCAGAGTAATCTTGGACAATTTTTTTCCAGACCATAAGCCGAGCTTTCATGAATGGGAGCTCTGTTGAACATGTGATTGAGTTCGGACTAGATTATCCGGAGGGGATGGCTGTGGACTGGATGGGAAAGAACCTCTACTGGGCAGACACTGGAACCAACCGCATCGAAGTGGCGCGTCTGGATGGCCAGTTCAGGCAGGTGCTTGTGTGGAAGGACTTGGACAACCCAAGGTCTTTAGCACTCGATCCTACCAAAGGGTAAGGAGCTTGRTTACTTTTCTGAGCTTTGTTTCCATCTACTCGCGTGTCTCTGGATACGTGGTGTTCCTTAGCTGTGTTTCCTCAGGCTTATTGAAACATGATAAACATTTCACAAATTCCACAATCCTCTGGACTCTTGTGGAAAATTATGAATTGTCAATCATTTTCTGTCTTTAAGACAGGAATGAGTAATCTACATAGTCATATAGGTTATTCCCGTTTCTTTTAGCTGAACTGCAGACAAGTTCAGAACGATCAGTCCAGGGAGCCGAGYTCCCCGTCAGCTATAGGTGCCATAACGCTCGTCTTCCGTGTGCCGCTGCAGGTACATGTACTGGACGGAGTGGGGCGGCAAGCCCCGGATTGTGCGGGCCTACATGGACGGGACGAACGGCGTCACGCTGGTGGATAAAGTGGGTCGGGCCAATGATCTCACCATCGACTACGCAGACCAGAGGCTGTACTGGACTGACCTGGACACGAGCATGATCGAGTCGTCCAACATGCTAGGTAACGTGCGCCTGCGGCGGCTCCGCTCCTGGCCGTGTGCGGGGAGCAGCAGCGCTGCCCTGCCGCCTCGCGGCTTCCTGCACCAAACGCTGCGCGCATCAACAAACTGCTGCTGGAGATGCTCAGAGAGAGCGTTTCCTGGCAAGTTTAAACTGAGGGGATTCACGTGCAGGAAAGCAGGCACGGCCACGCAATGTGGGATTGCAAGGCTATCGGTGATTTTGCATCTTGCTCCTATTTATTGCTCTGAGCTAAGCACTGCTGAATGGATGTTACTGTTGGGAGATGGCAGTGAGGTGGTTTCTTCCTCCAGAGGGTGTGGGGGCATTTTTTCCCATCAAGAGTAAATGATCTATCAAAGCTGTCACTAAGTTTCTGCATAATACTTAGAGAAACAAAATACCCACCGACAAACTTGGACCAGACTGTGGTATTGAGAAGAAATGTTCAAACTGTCTGTGGCAAATGAAACTGGTTGTAAAGCTGAACCAACCATTAACCTTTTCTGTGGTGGGAAGGCAGGAGGGAGGCCAGCGACGGGCACTGTCCTTGTGGCTAGCGGAGCGCCGGGACTCGGGCAGGCGCCCAGCAAGCGGCCGGTGGGTTCAGGACACGTGGCCAGGCCAGGGCTCGCCCTGCGCTCGCCGGGCTGCACCCTCGCCGGGGCAGGTGGGGAGGAGCTGCTGCTGCAGGAGAGGCTGCCCCAGCAACGGCAACGAAGCGGGTGGGACAAATCATCCCTTTGGGAGACCTCCCCTCCATCTGGCAACAAGCAAAATTCAGTTAAGTAGCTGTGCTGTTTCCTTCAAAGGAACCTGGTCCTGAGCTCATTCTGTGGGCCAGAATGGCTTTAAGAAGCATCCAAGAGTGTGCAGGACAGTGCTGCCCTTCACCTGGCACTTTAGATGCCTACAGGTAGTCGGGATAATTGCTTCTGCTCTAGTAATAGTTTATAGGAAAATGGCTTCATATTCTTTTTCATTCTCCATTTTTGGCACAATATGAGAGAAGAGAAGGAGGGCAAGGGAAGAAAAAGGGACTCCTTACAGCATCTAGCACAGGATGTTGCAGGCAGGGGGACATGATGCTCATAAAGGTTATTTTCATTTAATCTGAAATGCCACAGATTTGTGCGTGGCTGTGTCTGGAAATGTTTAAGTGATTTACAGTAAGAGTTTATCTCCTATAGTACTGAATAATGCTCTAGGTGTTAAATGTGTTACCAATGTTGCTAACCAAGCCACAGAGTGGGGGAGTGTTGGGATTTCTGCCAAGCAAATGGTTTCCTAATCCCATCGGGTAGCTGCATGTTACGTTGTACTGCAAATCATTTTTGTTTCTCGAGTGCAATGCCATTTCTTAAAACTCTTTCTCTGTACCTCTCCAATTGGCTACACGTTGCTCTTGTGCGTATCGTTTGTGTGGGGAGTTTATTGGCTTAAATGATTCCTGGAGTTCCAGGTGTTCCTGAAGGTGTTTTCTGGTGTTTATTTTGGATGTTAAGCACCTTTTCAAATTGCTCTCTAAGAGAGAGAGTATCAGGTTGAGATTTTTGAATGTGAGTGTTTCGTTTCTGCCTCTTCAGCAAATACTGCTTAATAATTAAACTTTTACTCCACGATGCTGATCTGAGTATGAGGTTTTAAGAATGGATGCAACTTTTTTCTTAATATGCCTCACATTTTCCACTTCATCGCTACATCCTCCATTTCACTGTAACTCTCCTTTGGTTGATTATCCCTATTTTTGCAGGGCAAGAAAGAGAAATCATAGCAGACGATCTACCTCATCCATTTGGGTTAACTCAGTACAGCGACTACATCTACTGGACAGACTGGAACCTTCACAGCATCGAAAGAGCAGACAAGACCAACGGGAAGAACAGGACGCTCATCCAGGGCCATCTGGATTTCGTCATGGATATCCTGGTCTTCCATTCTTCCCGCCAGGACGGCTTGAACGACTGTGTGCAAAACAACGGCCACTGTGGCCACCTGTGCCTTGCCATCCCCAACGGGTTCCGGTGCGGCTGTGCTGCTCACTACACCCTGGATCCCAACAGCAGGAATTGCAGCTGTAAGCATTCCCATTTCCCGCGGGTCCCGCCTGTTGGCCTTGCCCCGATGCTGGCTGAGGGGCCTCGGTGGCGGCTCGAAGCTTTCTGGGGCTTGCGGACGTGGGCGGTGGAAGGGACATCCGAAGCCAAGACATCTTCTTCTTTCAAGTGCTTATAGCTGGGCAAGTGTTAGAAGTCAGCAGGGGTAACAGCCAAGAAAAGAGCTTCCTCATCAGTCAGGGCAACGTGCACTTGTGAGATCACACGAGTTCATCTTCCCCATGCATGTGGGGGTATGAGCCCGTCCGTTCACCACCTGTGTGTAGGAATCTAAATTTCTAATGACGGGAGCAGGCACAGGAAACGTGCTCTTGATTTGAACTAACAAATAAACTAATCTTCAGACATTCTAGCACAGAAGCTTATAAGTAAATTTTAACCAGACAAGAGTGTAATATTTAAAAAAACCAAAACAAACAAAAAACAACCTGTCTCTATTTCACCATGTCACTGGTATTACTGAAAGCCTCCATGGAAATTACATCATCATATAAATCGGAAATGCTATCCTGGTGTGAGTGTGTGTGCATTCACTCTCCAGAAAGATACAGGATGACCTTTTTAGCTGACTAGCCAAACCTGCAAACGTGATTATCTTAGTTTACATTGTGAATATTTTTGTTTCTTTGGGGTTTTGCTCCGCATAGTCTTAGATGTGGAGGTGTTTGCTAACAGTGTGTTTGACAGTGTCTTGTTTGGCTTGTTGCAGCCCCAGCGAGCTTCCTCCTGTTCAGCCAGAAGTCTGCGATCAGTCGGATGATACCAGACGACCAGCAAAGCCCAGATATCATCCTGCCTATGCACGGCCTAAGGAATGTCAAGGCCATAGACTATGACCCCTTAGATAAATTGATTTATTGGGTGGATGGACGTCAGAACATTATAAAAAGAGCCAAAGATGATGGCACACAGGCAAGTTCACGTGGTGTATATACTCCTCTATGTAAGCCCTTTTGTGAACTTTTTTCATACTTGACTTTCCTCTCTCYCCCTTGCACCCGGGAGTTGCTAGTTTAAACTTGAGTCTTACCAACACTTAGTCATGTATTACTCTGCCAAGGACAATTACCAAAGACTTTTAGAGTTGTGATTTTAGTTTGTACACAAAGTAATACATGCTAACTGTAGCACTGTGTATATCTGAAACTGTAARCCTTGAACTGTGGTATTTAGGTAAGGACAGTGATAGGTATACTAAGGATAGGGATAGGTAAGTAAGGCAGTCTTGCTATCTCTGGATTATTCTTGAGGCAGAGCAACGAGGCTCCAGAGTCAACTCTGTGCGTGCCAGTTGTGTGCTCATGTTGTCATCATTGTAAAGCCCTTTCAGAAAGGGCTCTCTGGCCCCTCCAAGCTGTGCTTAAGCCCCGAATCAACASAGAGCTGCCAGCGCTCAAGCGGGACAGGCTTGTGCACACGCTCGATTGTTTTGCTGGCTTGGGGGCTTAATGCCTTTGTGCTGGTGATGCATCCCACAGTGGGAGAAAGTGGCTGTTCTTCCAGGCAGCACAGCATGTTAGCATAGCATAAACCCCAGGGCAAGATAAGAGATTACTTAAAAATTACAGTTTGAATAAAAATATAAAAACAGATGGAGAACAGGCAAGGTGCATTTCCCGTGTTCTTGGCCGGCTATATCTAAAAAAGGGACCGTGATTTTGGTGGCWCTGAACTTTGTGCCACCATCTTTTGTGTATCTTTGTGCATCTAGAAATTTAGGTGATTTTATGGTATCCTTTCAATAAATAGATACCAGTTCTTATGTTTTAGCCATTTCTGTTAAGATCGGAAGGACATTTCTGGGATGAGCAACTGGCTGGGTTGCGGGTGAGTTTTGAAGAAGTGTTGCTCTTGCTTTTTTGGATTATGCCAGGTGCTAATTGTTGGAGACTGGCTTCTCTTTGGTACTCACTAGGTGCAAATTGCAATGGAGATTTGTTTGCTCCGTGTTTTGCATTATCCTGGGTGCACAGCTTTGAAGATGCGGCTCCTCTGCAAATTTTGACTTTCTAATTTTCACCAAGTTTAGTTTTACTGAATTTTGCTAACTGGTATTTTTTTTTTTTTTTTTAAGATGTTTATGACTTTCATTTCAGGGTAATGTTGTCCTTGGATTTCTTTATATTTCTAGGCATGCTGTCAAGAGAAAAGAGGGATAAGTGTTTAATGAAAAAAAACTCCTATATCACTGCCTAGAACATGGAGGTTTAAAGCAAAGCTGTGCAAATGTCTRTGGCTATTGTGGCCAATTTGTTTGGCTTACGCTAAGCCACTGCAGTAGTAGAGGAGCCACTGGGATTGCAAATAAACAGCAGAAAGATTATTTTCTTAGGGTATCTCTGGTCCTTCGGGCAGGTAAACCCTGTTTGCTGTGTGTTTTTAGAACAATCCCTGCCAGTTGCTTCCCATATTGTGTCTTGCAGCCTTTCACTGTCATGAGCACTCCCAACCAAAGTCAGAACCCCGAGAAGCAGCCGCACGACCTCAGCATCGACATCTACAGCCACACGCTGTACTGGACCTGCGAGGCCACCAATTCGGTGAACGTGCACAGGCTGAACGGCGAGTCCATCGGAATGGTGCTGCGAGGGGATCACGACAGGCCCAGGGCCATCGTGGTGAACGCGGAGCGAGGGTGAGGGTCCCTTCTGCGGTGCCTGTGGCCTGTGGCCTGTGGTCTGGGGGAGCTGGGTATGCCAGCAGCACGCGTGGATCTTGTGATGGGTCTGTGTGTGTATACACATGTATATAAACATTTTTTTAAAGCAGAGTCTGTTTTCCTTTTTTGAGGAAAACAGATTCTGTTTTTCCTCTTTTTTCCAGGAGCCATTTTATGACCTCATGTTTTAGGGTGAAACACCACTGATTTTAGGCTATTCCAGCTGGCAAATGCCGATGGCTCTGTAGCCAACAGGCTGGATCATTGCAGCTGGAAGCAGCAGTGCCCACAGTGATCCCTGTACCCAGCAGCCCYGTTCCGACTGGGAACCTGTGTGCAAGGGGGAGCCTGGCCCGGCTCGCGAGGCGCCCCTAAGCCCCGCTGTGTTTGCTGCAGGTACATGTACTTCACCAACATGCAGGAGCGAGCTCCCAAGATCGAGCGGGCCGCCCTGGACGGCACCGAGAGGGAAGTGCTTTTCACCACCGGGCTGATCCGGCCAGTGGCGCTGGTCATTGACAACAAGCTTGGGAAGCTCTTCTGGGTGGACGCAGATCTGAAGCGCATCGAAAGCTGTGACTTGTCAGGTATGTKGCACGCGGGTTAAGCATTCGGAGCAGCACTGCTTCCTCTTTGATGCTGACCCCAGAAGCCTCTCCTAGCTGCACAGTTGCTGGTTCTGTGTGGGCAGGCCCAGATAACAATTGCTGGTGGGCTGGTGGTCTTTGATGTGATGGGAATGGCCATGGCTGTAACCACTGCCACCYTCCAAGAGGGATATTTGACTTGTTCTGAAAGCAGCTCCAACAAGATCAGATTTAGAGGGTGTTGCTGGTCATTGAGTCCCACTCCCCCTCCTTCACTTCTTCCTCTTGGTTTGAAAACTTAGCATGAATTTAATTTCTTCCTTCTCTAAGGTCTGCAGCCTTACAATATCAAGGTGAGTTAAGAACAAACAGAAAGGAGAGGAGGGAGTTCTTTTAAGCTCAATTATAAGGCAGTTTGTCAGGAAAAAAATCTCATCATATAAAAGGCTGGTTCTCTGTTTTTTGGTTGTTCTTGTCTTCTCCCAGTAGAGTCTTCATCCCTTCGCTTGCATTGCAGTGAGACAATTCAGAAGTTAAAATAGGAAAAAAAAATTTTTTTGTTGTTTTGCAAAGTCAGTTTAGTGTTGAGCACTTAGACCTGGCACAGGTCTCTTTYGCAAGAGTGGGGAATGAGAACGTGAAGCTGGGGTTGGGATGGAAAAGCAACSCTTGCTTTTCACTTAGAGCAGTTTACTTATCTGGACAGGGTGGTTCTGTCAGACTGCATGCACAGCCACAAAGTGGCCAGGCCAGGGAATAGGGAGCACCAAGACTGCCAGTGGAAAATAGCGGACAAGACAAGAAGTGATGAGTGAAATCACCTGTGTCTGAAAGGTTGCTGAGGGACACCAAAACACTGGAGATGCTGAGAGCTTCATCTASCGACGAAGGGAGGGCAGCCAGCAGTGAAAGGAGAGGAGGTTAATRCAGCACACAATGCACCCAGGGGCTGAAGTGGAATCCAGAAAAGGGGAAGGAGAGAGGAGGCCCCAAGGAAGATGGAGGAGARGAGAGCAGGCTTGGCAGGAAGAAAATGTGCCAGGAAGAAGCTTCTGAACTGAGCAGGGAGGAGGGCACTGATAATTACTGCTCTTACTGGTGAAAAGGTGACCTCACAAAATAGAGAACTTCAGTTCCTAACGAAGCTGCAGCTGCTGTTGCGTGTTAGGTTCCTGGCTGGAAGATGGGCTCTCCTTGCATGGTAGAGCACTGAGTGCCAGCAGCCTGGAAGCAATTAGTGCAGCTGAGAAATAAGATGTGCTCTGCAGTCCTCCAGATGAGACACGTGGCTTTATTTGTACTGTTTTAGGTCCAYGTCTTGGAGAAATAAGACGTGACAGTAGGTAAAATGATATGGACTAGGCTACGGTGTGGTGGGCAGTAGCTGTGCCCTGCAGCCGCAGCTTCCACTGCGCGTGCTGCATTCCGCAGTTCGCTGTGCCTTGGAAGCCCCATACGAGAAATGTTTGGAGCCTGGATCAATATTTTACTCCAATTCTCCAGATCTTTTTACAGTGAAAGCTAAACTTTTTATGTTTAATATTGAAGCAAAGCTTTTAATGCACATGTATTTGTTGGAGTCACAACTAAGAACTCAAACCCCTGTAGGTAAGATAAAAAGAATGAGAAAAACTAGAGGATTAAAGGAAAAAAGAAGTGTATTAACTGCAGGTTATATCTGATGTAGCCAGAAAGCTGAGCTTGCATCGGTTCCAGCTCAGCTCACCATAATTTGATCCACTGRCCTACTGATTTTGCTTAACAAGTTAAGAGTGTATTTTTAATTTAAAAATATTTTGTGGTCTCCTATCGCAACTTCAGAAGAAATTTAACAGCCAGAAGTATCTTGACTTGAAAAAACTTCTCTAAAGTATATTTGTGGGACAAAACATGTTAAAGTAGACATGCATTAGCAAAAGGATTATAGGGTAAACTGAATTTTTGGGATGAACTAGACCAAAATTGTGTTTAGTGTCCTTAATGCTAATAGGCAGTTCCGGACCATCTTATTSCCTCGCAGGCTTTGGGAGATGACAAGTTTATGGAGGTTTTGCTGCCCGCAGATAGTTAAGAGCAGCTGGCCAAAGGATGGAATAACCTTTGCTGTCCCGTGCTGAACTCTGAGAGAGGGAAGGAAGAGCCATGCAGCAGTCTGTAGAGCGACAGGTCTCTGTAAGCTGCTTGACTTTTTCAGTGGGAGACACTGATGCTTTGTAGGAGCTCCTGGAATATTTGCAAGTAACTCTAGTCTGTCCCATCAGTCAATTAAAAACAGTAGTGTTTTTTATTATTCTTAAAGTGACTGGAAAGGCTATAAAATTAAGGTAAGAGCAAATACTCTGTTTTCAATTAGACTTTAAGTACTGTGTGTTCTTCGAGCTTAACATTGATGTAAATACTAATTTCCACTTTGAAAAGACAACATGTCTCTTTCATACTGGAAATCAAAGTATTTAATTACTATGGAAATTCAACATTTATTTGTAATGGGTTTTTAACATACTTATTGAAAACTTTTCAGTCAGATTGTGCTTTTCATCGTGTGAGTTCCTCTGAAGAACCATCTCATGGAGTCACCCTGTGTTATAGGTGCCCTTTGCTTCTCCCCTTAAAATTATTAGTAACTTGGACTTCATTTTCTCAAGATCAAATGCAACATAATTGTGTTACAGATCAGTCAGCTTATCCYATGCAGTCTCCAGCAGCCTCTCATGTTGCTATTCACATTCTACAGATGAGGAAGGTAAAGATGATTCTTGAAATACACTCCCCAAACCATTAAATATACCCTGTTCACAGCCTGCATTTAAGAAACTGTTGGAAAAGGCTGATCTTATAGCAAGGTTACCAGCTTAGGAGAGTCACCTGGCACCTCATGTCCTAGATTTCAGGATGCCCTAGGAAATCCTTCAGGACACCAGTGACCAATTTAGCTCTGAGATCATGAAAGCAGAAGGAGGTTCTTTTATATCAAGCTGCAAGTGAGGCTTTCCCATTCCTGTGGTGCCTTGAATACAGCTGCATCTTTGGTTCTGGGGTCCATATCTGGGCTCGGTTTGCCACATTGACCATCTTGCTTCARAGGGCTGGGCAGTCCAGTCCTGCTGAACAGACCCTAAGGGTGCTCAGCAGGTGGTAGAGCTAAAGAGCAAAGTGTCCTGTGCTTTGCTCACTAAGTACCTTTYGGTGTCAAAGCACTACATGTGTAATGGTATTTACAGCACTATGTGTGTGATGGTATTTACAGGACCTGTATGTTTAGGAGAAGACAGAGCCCATCTTAGAGCCCATCTCAGGGACGGCGCCAGTGGTATCGATAGTCAGATTTAAGTGTCCCTTCAGTGAAATCAGTGCAGCCCGTCTGTTCTGGAGGGGTTTTTACCTTCCAGATCTCCTGCTGAGCCTGTGCGGAGAGGGGCACAAGCACCAGGCTTTCCTGCAGSAAGCGGTGCAGTCCCAGCCACTGGCTGGATCCCAAAGCTCCTCTGGTGGAAGAAACTGGAGAAAGCTCTCTGGACCAGCACCCATTCCTTGCAAACTGCAAAACCTCCTCCAGCATTGGGAATTGAGATTCCTGACTTTATGCATACATATTTATATACATACATATGAATGCACATTTGTTTTGTCTGTCTGTGTTTATTAGAGGCAGTATTCAGCATGGCAGTCAAGTAAGACTCATTGCAGGCAGTAATTCCCTGTGCAAAATTAACAGTGGCTGTAATTGAAATAAATGTAACAGTCGTATGCTTGGCTGAGCTCTGTGTAATTTATGCAGCAAATTAGCTGAAGTCAGTGCTCATTAGCATTTTAATTACATATCCAAATTCTATAATCTCACCTAGCGTCGCTATCCAAAAATTCGTTCTTAATGCAAGCAGACATAAACTGTGATTATATTAAGTGAAATACCACAGCAGAGAAACCACCAGGTTATGGGCTGTTTTGCATTTCTCATTTTTAAAATCAAATATATCTGATATACACAGACATGCACAGTCTGAAAATGGTTTCTGTGAAATAATAGAATAATTTGGAACCTCATGTTCATTCTAAGCAAGGATAAAAAAGCAACAGTTAGATGCCATTAAGTGGAGCACAGCACACAGTGGAGGACTGCAAGCAATTAAAGTTAAAAGCAGCCATAAATTCTTTTTTATTTAACTTGTTTTTTACATATTGATTGAGATTATTTTGTAGAGCAGTAAACCTGAGTGTTTGGTGATGTTACTGTTGAAAAGCATATGGAGTTGCACTTTGTTTCTGGCTTTCTGGTTGGTTGCTGGAGAAAAAAGAAAGTGAGGAAAGAAGTACAATTGTTAGAAGAGGGGTGTTTTTTGTGATCCATGCCCTGTGGACATGATTTAGTGTATGGTGTCTTGCTTTCCATGATCACTGTATTCTAGCAAAGCCAGTGCCTTGTGCAGTACCCATGGGTTCCAACCAGGCATGTTGGTAAGTGTGAAACTGAATAATTTCAGAATTTAGTGAAATTGGATTTGGAAATCTCAAAAATGACCTTAGACCAAGTTTTGGGACGGAGGTTTTTTTGTTGTTTTATTTTGTTTTTTTTTTAAGAAGGTCTATGAGAGTTACACACYGATTGCTGTAAAATCATTGTTTTTGTTACACTCAGGTGCTAACCGAGTGACCTTGGAGGACTCCAACATCCTTCAGCCAATGGGACTGACTGTGCTGGGGAACCACCTGTACTGGATTGATCGTCAGCAGCAGATGATCGAGAGRGTGGAGAAAACCAACGGCTACAAGAGGACTAGAATTCAGGGCAGGATTGCTCACCTGACTGGCATCCATGCGGTGGAAGAGCTCGACATGGAGGAATTCTGTGAGTTCCCTGCGGTGTCCAAAGTCCCTCGCGCTTGGCCTCACGCTCCCTTAAACTCCCAGTCCAGCACGGCGGTTTAATAATGTTGCCCTCTGGGTTTGAAGAAAGCCATGGAGTGCTTTCAACTTGCAGGATCAGGCCCCTAGAAGAGAAGGTGAAACAAGTTTCACCTTCCAGTGGAACAGGAGGACTTTTTTTTCCATGTGATTTCGCAGCACCTAGCCGCTCAATTTGTATGAATGTGCATCTGATACTTAGTTCAACTCCCAAAGCTGCTGTGAGACATGATGGTTAATTTTGTAAGTACAACCAAATAAAAGACTTTGTAAAGGAAAGAGAAAGGATGGCACTTGTCCTTTCCCCCAGAAGTTTCAGACCACTTTGTAAAGCAAAGCTGGTTTGACGCAGCACAACTGGTGATGTAAAAGTCTCCAGCAAGATGGGCAGTGGGCAGGAAGCTCCCCAAAATTTTTGTTGCTGATGAGAAATTTCTCTCCCATCAAAGGTAGGGGTATTTAAGGTCTGCTTTACTTTGCTGCACTGCTTGTTTTTAGCCCCAGTGCTGTGTGGGGGAGAGCAGAAACCTCTCAAGAAGTCCTTACAAGGCAATGTACTCCGAGTGAAAACCTGGGCTTAACAGCCCTGCTGCACTTCTTAGTGCCTGGCTAGCCTAGAAAATGAGAATGTCCAGGAACCTCAGGAATGTGACCTGTTCACATCCACCTTCTCGCTTCCCTTGACCTGAGCTCCTCAATTCTTTTTAGAAGTCATTTAAAGGTGTTTGTGTCACTTTGACTAGGAGAGATGCAGTCCTCATGAAGCAGCAAATCGGCTGCTGAGCACTGACCTGAGAAACGCTGCCCTCACTTTTCTATTTATTTGTAGAGAAATGTTGCAGTTACCTTTGTAGAAGCGTACTAGTGGTCACTAGTGATTTTTGTTGTTCTTCTGCTCATACTCCTTCCTGTGCACTTGCTTCCCCAGCTGCACATCCATGTTCTCGTGACAACGGCGGCTGTTCGCACATCTGCATCGCCAAGGGGGACGGCACTCCCAGATGTTCATGCCCAGAGCACCTGGTGCTGCTGCAGAACCTCCTCACGTGTGGAGGTGAGTTACGTCAGCCAGGGCAGCTTCAGACTTGGAACCACTGGAGAATTGATTGGGAGAGGCGGAAGCACTGTTAAGTGGGAGAAGTGCAATCCGGTTCCTTTGTTATTTTCTCTTTTTGTGGAGGAAGATGTTTTCAAAAACTCATCTAATGAATGAAGCAAGTGACCAGAATCTGGAAGGGTAACTAATGCCAGAAACTTGCCCAGAAAGGGTATTTGTGACTGTCACACAGTTTAGAATGACACCACATTTTCTGCAGACTACATACAAATCCAGAACATGGATTTACACACTGTGTTTTTCTAGACTAAAGTGTGTTGCATCATGAGTTAAACTTGGCCTTTGATGCTTCTGCCAGGTGTTCCTGGCCTTAGTTCTTAGGCCTATGTAACTTTTCATTATGAGCACAATGCTCGTTTGACCTTAAAATACTTAGAAAAGTCTCAGTAGGAGATTGGAGTAAATGATGCGGTAGGTTTGTGCTGTGAACAAATTCTTGCAACGTGATGTTGCATCAACTTCTGATGACCTCGCAGCAGAAACTGGACATATGACCCCCATAGTGGGATACTTAACAATCTTTCAAATAAATTTTGCTTGGGAATGTGAAGCACTGCTCTCTAGTTAACGAACGGTAGGCCAAAAGCTCAGCTGCTCCTTTTCCATAAGACAGCTCCTCTTCTCCCACCTTGCAGACTTTGCTTTTAGACTTCCAGTCCCACGATTTCTGAATATTGTTGCATCACACTTGCAGGATTTTCAAAAAGGGAAAAAAAAAGGGGGGGGGGGGTTTAAATCATGGGTTAAATTGGGTTGAAATCATTTGGCTCTGCCTGTCCTCTTGTGTTGTTTTTATGTATTCATTTTGCAGTGGGTTTCATTTTCTGGCTRAACTCTGACCTCCCTAGGGACAGTCATTTCCATTATAAACTGTTTTCTTTCCCATGACCACAACACACTATGTGGTTTCTGAGTAGCAGTGGTTACTTCTGCAAAGGAGAAAAATAAATCAGTCTCTTTATATTCCTTGCTGTGCTGCTGTTGCGAGACACTGCCAGTGAGAGATTCCTACATCCCACTGCTTCATTATCTTCAGCTATAAATCTAAAAATTCAAGGGCCTCCCTTTTGGTTTCAGTCTTTATTCATCTTTATCTTAATCCTTCACTAAGCCTGCTTCAACTTTTTAACCTATCTGGTCTACAGTAGTGGCAGCCTGTAGCCAGTGTTTCACAACAGATTAATAGCTGTTTTGGCTGAAGAACTTTTGTCAGTGTGCCTTTATGAACACTTTGGACAAGTTTTTGAATGCAAACTTTGCAGCATTAAACATGGCTGCAAATGAGAAGCAAGTGATCTAGCTGTTGAATTATCTAAATGGTACCCTCAAATAAAAATGTAATTCTAAAGAATTATCTTAATGTGGGTATCTGGCATCTTTATCTTATCTACAGCTGCCAGGTCACTGGCTACATTTGTAATCCTCAGCATTACTACACCCAAGAATCATAAATCATGAACTTCAAAATCATAAGGTTTTTTAAAATTGTGGGKTTTTTTTGATTTTTATTAGCCTTTCATTTTTCAAGCTTTGGCTGCAGTCTAAAGCTTGTTCTTGGGGTCTTATTCTTGAACACTTATTGCTGATGAAGGGTAGCCACACGTCAAAAATGATTTGCTTGTAGTTGCATGGCTCTAGGATCAATAACTTAAMCACCACCCTCAGGAGAGAGAGGAAAATGCATCTCACTGCAGTGGCCTGTTGGATACAAGCAGTTAAAAAATGCTTGCTAATTTGCTCTACGTAAGACCTAGGAGGTTGGTTTGTTTGTTTGACTTTTTACAGTAGATTCCTGATAAGCACCATCTTTGTCCTTTGGTTGTTGCCATTCGGAAAACAGCCCTGACGATCTGCCTGCAACACAACTTTGCATCTCTTTAAATGCAGCTGCTTAAGGGTCTCAGCGTTTGACTGCAACCCGAGCAACAGTCTGGGTGTAGAACAGGATCATCCCAGGGGTTTAGGGTTCATGAAGAGGCAGGTCCCAAGGAAGTCCCAGCTTKCTTAATTCTAACCAAATGATTAACCCAGTTTTGTATGAAGATTATTTTAAGCTCTGATTAGATTTGTTCCAGGCAAGCATAATGCAGGGATTAGCGTGCTGCAAAATGTGGTTTGCAAGCAGAAATTGAGTGTTCATTTAATGCACGGAAAAGTCTCTTCCGAAAGGTGGTTCTTAGAGCCAGAGTATTTGGAGTTCCTGCCCTTAGCTCAGTGCTCGTGTGCTAGAGCGAGCTTCTTCCATCAGCAGGCGTCTGGTTTCTGTTCACAGCTGGGAAAATTTCATTCCTTATGCAAAGGGCCGTTTTTCTCTTTGCTGAAATCTTCTCATTTGCACGGAAGATCTTCAATGGGGAAAAACAAACAAGCAAACAAAACAGCCTGTACTGTTTGTAACCCATTGAAGAGGCTGAAATTGCTCAGGCAAATGTGCTTTGTTTTCCTTTTTCCTCCAGAGCCCCCGACTTGCTCCCCCGACCAATTCACGTGCGCCACCGGGGAGATCGACTGCATCCCCATGGCGTGGCGCTGCGACGGCTTCCCCGAGTGCGACGACCAGAGCGACGAGGAGAGCTGCCCCATCTGCTCCGCGGCGCAGTTCCAGTGCGAGAAGGGCCAGTGCATCGACGCTCACCTGCGCTGCAACGGGGAGATCGACTGCCAGGACAAATCGGATGAAGCAGACTGTGACAGTAAGATACTTGTCTGGGCTTCTGCTCGCTCTGGTGGTGTATTTCAGATCTTTGGTGTCAAAGGGGGAAAAAGTCTTAYGTGTAAAACCCTAGCTCAGCTATCCACTGATTCTCCTTTTTCTCTATATCCCACCCATCCTGGGCGGGGGAGCTTGCCCATATTCAGAGAGTCTAAGGAGGAAAGAAACTGTCAGGATGTCCCACAGGATGTCCCACATGCAATTTTTTCTGCATTGCCATTCCTGCTTGCGCTGTTTCTGCCGTGTCCAGTTCACCTTTGGACAGTGGCYGCTGCAAAGTGCCATGGGGAGGAAGACATGGACTTAATTTTTCTTGGAATAACCACTAGATTGAAGCTTCCAGGAGTGCAGGCCCCTGGCCCCTGTAGGATATCTCTTTACTGATAGTTTAATGTGTTTTGATATAGCAGAGACTCAGGCTCAGAGGTTCAGTAGCAGTCAAGTCCTTTYTGCTGAAACAAAGGGATCTGGATAGAGACAGGAAATGTAGAGTTACTTATCCAAGTTACACAATATAAGGCTACATAAGATAATGTGAACTATGTAAGGCTGGCATTCTTCCTGGCTCCTCAGAGCAAGGCAGGGGCTCTGCTGCCTCTGGGCTAAAAGATGAAATGTGCTGTGGCTTCATGTCTTGCATCTTTTGGCTTCCTTAAGAGGCCCAAACGCTCCCGTGCCAGCAGTAATTAATCTTTCCTGCCTTTCCGTGCAGCCATCTGCCTGCCCAACCAGTTCCGATGTGCCAGCGGGCAGTGCATCCTGCTGAAGCAGCAGTGCGACTCCTTCCCGGACTGCATGGACGGCTCGGACGAGCTCCTGTGCGGTGAGATGTCCCGCGGGTCGATGCTCCGTGTCCCGGCGCGGCGCCCCGCGCCCTGCCCTGCCCTCTGCCCTGCTGGGCACCCACTCGCAGTTGCCCCTAACCGCAGTCGTGCTCGTGCAGGCTGGTGGCTCTGTGCAGGGGCAGGAGCGTGAGGGGCAGCCGGCACATAGGATACAACAGCCTTGTGATCTATGGGTCTGCTTTCACCTCCATACCCGGGGGAGATGATTCCAGTSTGCTGGATGGCTTGGAGCTTGCGGAGCAGCTAGGGAGCTTGGGATGAATTTAAAATATGCAGCTTTATCCCTTGCCGTTACAGGAGGAAGCTGGGGTTAGTTACGTGGAGGAGCTAGCAGGCACAGGGCCAGTGTCAAACTCTTGTGGGACTTGTCTGAGACTTGTCCCAGACACCTGTCCCAGACAAGTGCTGCTCCTGCTGCTTAATAACGCTGCCTTTAGGTCACTGGCTAATTGCAAGGATTTCACTGCTCGCAATTTGGGTTTTTCTCCTTTATACCTTAGAGGTGTGTCACGTTTGAAGCAGACAAGGCAGCTCTCAGTGTGCTGTGCCAGTGCAGGCCRCTCTGCTGGCCTGAGCGGAGCAGTCGGCCGGTCCTGCCAGTGTGACCTTGTTTCTTCTTTCCATCATCATCGGGAGGGCATCCAGCAAGGAACCGAAAGGAAAAGAGCCCAAATGTTTAACAGCAGAGGCCAGAATAGCAACTTAATAAAAGAATCTGTTTAACTCTCCCGTTGGCAGTTTCAGACTGAACATGCTTCTCGTGCTTCTCCCACATCTCCCATTTATCTCGTGACCCTCACCCAATTCTCTACAGTTTCCTGGATACTGTAAAGTTAGTGGGTTTATTTAGTTTATTTTCTTTGTGCATTTGGCAGACTTCTTCTGTGCTATTAAGCTAATGCAGTGGTTTCCTGTTTGCATATTGGGTCCAGTCCTGCAAATAGGTCTTAACTGATTTAAATGGGTCCCTGTGGACATAGGACTTTCTCCTCTGGAGTCTCTTTGTGGGACAGAGCCCTTTGTGGTTTCTTGCCTGACTGAGCAGAGAACTCAAGCAGGGAGTAAATATGATTGTGACTTTCTAGCTGAGAATTTTGCATTAGAAAGAAGATGGGTTTTACCAAAATGAGATTTCTGTGTTTTAAATTGGCTAATTTGGGAATATGTTCTAATTTTGACTACCTTTTTTTCATATTCTATATTTTGTTATCAAGTGAGATCCTTAGCTGACATAAAAGCTTTCCTGCACTAGTAAGTGCAGAAAATAAGCTGAAGACTTTTAAGACAGAAATGAAATCTCAAGGCTGAGCTGTTGAGTTTATTTGCAGATCACTGTATTTCCCTTAGCTTCTTTAATTTCAGTCATCTTTCATTCCTGCCCAACAGTCACCTAAGATGGTATAAATCTTTCTCCAGAATCACTGCAGAAATGTTACGTATCTTAGGTAGCCAGGACTTGAACAGTATTATGTGTATTATGAGTATTATGAGCCACTTCACTTCCYATAGCTGCGCTAACGGGATCAATAGGTCCATTTGATCACGTAACAACCTACAGGCCTTGGCCATTTCTCTTTTGAGTCTTTTACTTTGTGCATGTAGATATATACACAAATATATGTAGGAGTGTATTTGTGTTGTTCCCTCAATTTACACAAATATGCAAACAACAGAAAAAAATTATTTTGTTGGAGAGTGTCACACATGCAAAACACAGGGAGGTGTCAGGTTTTTTGGGCAAGAATTTGGCATGTGCTACCCACAGTTAGTGGGAGAGGGGATTCGTGGTTCATCTCAAATACTGCTGCATTTTTTATTATTCAACACTGTGTTGTGGAAGGAAAATGAAGTAAGAGGTAGAAAGTGCTTGAGATGATAGGAATTTTGTTTTCCTCGCAATTGCTAAGATCCTTTTGAAGAAAGCAAGTCATTTAGAATACTTTTTCCTTCTTAAAATGTCACTATTTGGGGGATATTTTACCCAAGAAGATGCCCAGTGTTTGATATATACTGTCCCTCCCTTAAATTCTGTCAGTGCTTCAACATTATTGTGAGCTCCAATGGTTTTTGAGAGACCAGACTGCTTTCTGATTAAGGACTTAATGTTTGTACATATCCTMTATCTTTGACCAATATAATTCAGAGGGAAAAGAGAAAACTTTTCAGGCTGGTACTGCATTCAGATCATTGCTTGCAACTGATAAAAACAAACAAACAAGAAAATTCTTTAAGTGTTAAAGCAATCCTGATATGAGATGAATCCTTAGAAAGGGAAGATCTAGGCACAAAGTTTAATGCAGTAATTCAGAATACATGAAATTCTATCTGCATGAGCTTGATACAGAAACTTTGTGTGAATGACACCGTGTGGATGATTGTGAGTTTGACTGATTTGCTGCAAGTGCTCCATTGTCGGTGTTGTCCTGTGTTTGATGGCTTCCTCGTTCTTTTTCCTCTTTCCAGAAAAAAACAAGCCAGCCTCTGATGAGCCACAGCCACACAGCAGTGCCATCGGGCCTGTCATCGGAATAATCCTGTCCCTCTTTGTCATGGGAGGCATGTATTTTGTTTGCCAGCGAGTCGTGTGTCAGCGCTACGCGGGGCCCAACAGCCCCTTCCCGCACGAGTACGTGAGCGGCGCCCCGCACGTGCCGCTCAACTTCATCGCCCCGGGAAGCTCCCAGCACGGCACTTTTACGGGTAAGGATGGCAGGGCCCTGGCATCCCCTGATCCCACGGGGGCTCCGCAGGCTACCAGGGTTCACGAGGCAGCATGTCGAAGGGCACATGCCAGGTGCCTTGGCACACGTAGATTTTGGGAATCACGTTGTTGTGCCAGGCTATGTCTGCTCAGGTACCTAGCAAGACAGAAACAGGAAGCTGTGGGTGCAGATGTGGACAGATGTGGACAAACACAAGCAGTCTTTGTGGTGTTTGTCTGCTTGATGCCTCAAGTGTCTCTGCAATGAAAACATCCCCTTTGGTTTAGTTCATCTCGGAGACCGATTTCCTGTTTGTTTTTTGGGCAAAGTATGTATGCTCTCTGGGAGCATAATCTCATGTGTAAAGCACSTTGCTTCACCTCACGCAGGAAGCAGGACAGGCGCTCAGGGCAGCGCGTGCGGCTGCTCTGCTGAGAGAGGAGGGGCCCTTAGAGTACACAGCATGTTCAGCTGAGACAGTGGCTCGGAAACCTCATGCAGCCATCACAAAAAACACTCAATTTAAAATACATCTCTTAGGAATGTARAATATACATTTCATAGAGAAGGTAGCAAGCTCTTAAATACAAAGCTCTGGAGAGAAAGAGCATTCCTTCAAATTATTCAGAAATCTGCCAAGTAAATGGTGTCCTGTAACCCCACCAGGCAGGGTTAGAATACCCATGTATGACATTTTCTGAATGTGCAAACTGTAAATTTCTTCTCRTTTTGAGAATAGCCAGACACAAGTTAGGTTTGCCCTTCTATGCACTCTAATGACTGTGGTCAACTGTTGYTCCTTCAAGAATGTTTTGGGGATTATCAAGAGGTTTTGAGGGTGAAAAATCAGTTTGAAGATGAAAAGCAGGTGTTACCTTTTCCAGAGGYGTGTTAAACTCCTACGGATTTCCCACTAGATTTTCCTTAATCGAGGCAAGCATTTTTGTGTGGTGACCCTCCTTTGTACCTTAGTATACACTAAAATAAACTTATTTGCTTATTTGCCAGCTTTTCTTACCTAGCTAGAGAAGGCTTCCAGGGCTCTGTGTTGCTATGACAATTTAGAACAGTTCAAAATCTCACCTAAGTGTTGACGCTAGAGAGATGGTGGACGTTGCTAATAGCACGGCATTTTGAAAAAGTGACGTGCTGCTTGATGTGGTTGATTGTCAAAAATAAAGTCACTCAGCTTATAAGAATCTGTCCCAGGTCTGAAAAATGTCCGTAAACGTCTAAACTAAAATCCTGGGTGAGCACTAAGCAGTCTGACAGGAAGAAGTTCAAACATTCTGTGATTTAAGTGCAGGTTGATGTTGCACAGTTGGAGAATGTTGTCTTCCCTTTTTCCTACCCCCCCCCCTTGTTTCCTTCCTTTTGCCTCTGTCAGCTTTCAGTTTAGGCAGTAATTTTTATTTCTTTTTTTCCCCAATAAAGATATTTTATTTTTCTTACTGAAATACTTGCAAGTGAACTTCTTTGCAAGGGAATGAGGAAGCTTCCTTGTGCAATGTATAATGATTTTTACAAGCTTTGTTTAGTTGGAAAGAAAGTCTTGGCGAAGTCCTTGGGTGGAAAGGCGGGCCCGGCTGTTCCTGTCTCAGCAGGCTGGGAGGACAGTCCGTGGGGAGCGCGGTGCCACAGCGAGACCGGGGACGGTTTGGCCAGCAGGGCTTTTTTGCTTACATAAGTTCAAGTTGAAACTCTGTTGTTGCTCGCAGTCCTGAGGCCGCTATATAAAACAGYGCGTGCAGACTGAGGACCAGAGCAGTTGCCAAGGGTCTGCGAGGCTGAGGATCTGCTGTTGCTTGGTGCTGGTAGGTTACGCTGTGGTTTACCTAACTGCGGTTTCCTCTCCCTCTGGCCACAGGCATCTCTTGTGGGAAGTCTATGATTAGCTCCATGAGTCTCATGGGAGGAAGCAGCGGTGCCCCCCTGTATGACAGAAACCACGTTACTGGAGCCTCTTCGAGTAGCTCATCGAGCACAAAAGCCACTTTCTACCCACAGGTATGTTGTGCACTTAGACCTCTGGGTGAGGTATCTCCCCCTCAGGACAAGGAAGATGGAAACTTGTGTTACTGAATCTAATGCTAACAACAGTTGCTCTTGGGAGGTGCTGTGGATGTTCCTGGCGTTAGATTTAGGTGACCCCTTCTGCTGCTCTTTGTGACCCCCGATGGCAGCGGCGCGGTGACGTGGAGCGCCGCAATGCACTGCAGGCACCTGGGGCACGAAAAGATAAACAGGACCGAGCAGGAAAAAAATGCCTAAGGAATGAGCTTGGCGGGCTGTTTATCTGAGGCACTCACTGCTGACTCCGAAAACCAAGCACGAACAGAGGGAGCAAACACTGGGACCGCCTATCACCTTATTGTGCTCAACTCTTCCCAGCTCTGTCTTGTCCCCATTTAGGTTTTTGGTTGGATGTGATAGGGTTTTTAGTCCCCCAAATCAGCGTTTCATTAATTTAAAGGAGCGTGGATGGAAAATAAGATCTGAAAATATAGAAACTGCTGTGTTATGTGTAGGCATTTTGACTGACAGTGTTTTATCCAAAGGCAACTGCACCTTCTCCCCTTTGTTTTGGAAAGATAAGGATGAAGGAGAGGGGGTTGTGAGCTKATCTCTTGATAAGGAAATATTGGTTAGGTCTGTATTCCTTGTAACTTTCCTGGAGAAGCCACCAAGAAGCTAGTCAAGATTAGCAGGTGTTTGTTAGTCTAGCCCAGCAGCCTCCTTGCTTCGSTGCTCAGTTTGGCCCCTGCCCCCCCAGAGCCTCCGTAACTCGCTGGGCAATTTCATGATAGTGCCTGGTTGTTGTCAGTGCTACACCAAAAAGGAGGTAGAGGGGAAAAAACAGGTACACTAATAGAAAAAAATCATAAATCTGCGAAGTCCAAAGAGGCCCCAGAGCTTATTTGTTTGTGTCTTTTTCTGGGAACTGGCCAGGCCAAAAATCCAAATCCTTCATTGGAGAGTGGCCTAAACTAACCTGCCTGCGGTCCTGGGAATCTTTTTCCACGTTTTCTTCTCAGGGCCATGTGACCTGGGGCCTGTCAGGATAGCTGGGGCCTGGCAGGATAGTGTCAGCCTCTCTCTGGAGAGGGAACAGGGCCACCAGCTTCTCCCAAGGAGGCTGTAGCGCAGCCTTTGTCCCACTGACGGTACTGCCTGATCCCGGTATTTTCATCAGTTCTACCTGGCAGCTAATTACCCAGTTTGGGTTCCATAATTATTAAGAGCTCTGAGCACCTGGCTGCCTTGGCTTCTTCTGCTGAACTTGTTCTGGGTGGTGCTGTCCATGGGTGGTCCTTGGCAGAGGATGAAGGCCAGGGAGGAGCTGATATGGAGCTGTGCCAGTTGGTTATCCGGGAACATGGCCACAGGCATCGCGGCTGATGCGTTTGCTCTATTCCATGTGGCTGGGAAGTGCTGCGTGGATGCAGCTCAGGCACAAGCAGCAGAAGATCCAGGAGGAGCAGGCCAGCGCCTCTCCGAGGAGGAGGGTGAGGGGAAGGATGGGGTCACTATGGCAGGCTGGACTCTGTCCCGGGCCGGCTGCGAGCAAGATGCCCCCGTCGGCAGCGGTGCTGCTCCGCGTTGGAAGTGCGGAAGCGCCTCCCTGGGTCCAGGCCAACGTCCTGGCTGCCGTGCTGGGGCTTCTGCTTCCCAGGAAAGGAGCAGGGCTCCTCGTGCGCGAGGGGATGAGAAGGAACCTTCGAGTGCTGCATTTTTCTTGGAGYACAATGAGCTCTTTCCATAGGTGTGAGGATGACTGCGTACGGGCGCGCACAGGCCAGGGCAAGTCCTAACTATTCGTAGCTGCTGGGCTCTTTGCATCGCTAGCTTTGCCAAGACAATATGTTTACGTAAGGACAGTAAAAAGGAAGCACTGAGGGAAGGATGGAATCATATTAGTTATTTCAAAGAAAGTCGGCCTCCCGACCTGACTGTGGATGGGGSATGTTTAGGGGCTGCAGGTGGAACAGCCTTTGCTCCTGTCAGCCTCTGCTGTGGATGAGGCCAGCCCTTATGGCCAAGGAGCTGCTGAGAACCAGCAAGACTAGATTCATCCTCCTGCTTTGGGAAGAGTAATTCCTACCGTGAAAGGCCTGCAGGCCACCTARGCCCAGAGGCAGAATGGATTTCTCTGACTTAAGTGCATTAATCCATCCAAGCTGCAAAGGGAGGAAGCTGAAGTAAGGATGATGGTGACCTGTTTAATGCATAAATAATACTTTAAAAAGAGCTTTACCATTAACAGAAACTTCTGCCCTGCTTGTKCTTCACCTTCCTAGATCCTGAACCCACCTCCTTCGCCAGCTACGGATCGCTCCCTGTACAACACGGAGATGTTTTACTCCTCAAACATTCCTTCCCCCACGAGATCTTACAGGTATGGCTCGGGCAAGGGGGGCTGGTGCTCTTCCTGTCCTTCCATTCTGGGTATGAAACAAATATTCTTGTTCAGTCTGTATCTTTAAAAAAAAAAAAAAAAAAAAATCAACTTTTCCCTCCCTTGATCAACACGCATTTGAGCAGACACCGTTCTAGCTGCTGTGCTAAACGCCGGCTTTCTGAACGAAAACCTGAGTTAAGCAGCAGCAATGAGACACGGTTCCCGCATCCAGCCCTTCCTTTTCCATCTTCCTCCTCCCTTGCTCCCCAAATGGCAACTGACGCCGCTGCTTTCGCCCCCTTTCCGGCAGGCCCTACCTGATCCGAGGGATCGCTCCCCCCACGACGCCGTGCAGCACCGACGTGTGCGACAGCGACTACGCGCCGAGCCGATGGAAGGCCAACAAATACTACATGGACCTGAACTCGGACTCAGACCCCTACCCGCCGCCCCCCACCCCCCGCAGCCAGTACCTGTCGGCCGAGGAGAGCTGCCCCCCGTCCCCCGCCACCGAGCGCAGCTACTTCCACCTCTACCCCCCGCCGCCCTCTCCTTGTACAGACTCCTCCTGACCCCAAGAGAAGAACCCTTCCTGTAAATATTTTTAAATATGAACAGATTTAAAATATATATTTTATGATTTAAAGAATAAATAGGGGTGGGAATTTTTAAAAAGAGAAATGTGAATAAGGATGGGTGGGAGGGATGGGGCTGTGAAAAATTGTACAGAGGAAGAATATTTATAAAATTGATTTTTTTAACTTAATTTCCATTCTTTTGTGCTGTATTTGCTGTTCTGAAGTCGTGAAAGTGGCTTGATCTCCAAAGCAGTTGGGGAGGGACATTGAGGGTTTCCCCCCCCCCCCCCTTTTTTTTTGGTTACCTTTTTACTTGTAAAGTACATGGAAATCTTTTTATTTATGTGAAGAAAGGATGAAAAGGGGGCTTTTGTGGGAGGTGCAGGCTGAAGAAAAGATGAAGATTACCCACAGAGGGGAAGAAGACCCTTTTCAGTAGCAGTTATTTGTCTCATCCCACGGCCTTGGGTGCTCCTGTTTGCCTGTGAGTTAAACACTTCCTAGCAGAATGTGTGTCCYGAGACCAGCGTTTTGGGCTTCTCCCTCCATTTTCTTAGGATCAAACTGGAAGTGTTTCTGGGGTGATGAAACCAAAGCTCCTGCAGCCTTTAGCAGGAGCTTCCGCCACCATCCAATGTCTGTGTCCCAAAGCAGAGTGAGATGGTCACGTTTACTCATCTAACCTGCAGGGGAAGCGCACAGCTCCAGGCCACAGGGCTTGGTTCCTGGCAGGGGCAGGGCCGGGAGCTCAGCCCTGTGATCCAGTTTGGGTTTCAGGTCTGTTCTGCAGTTCTGCTCCTTSTGCTGTCGTCGTCCCACGGCAGGGTGCGTCGTCGCCGGGTGTTATTAAAACTCCTTAGGTGTTATTAAAACTCCTCAAGTAGCTTTCGYTACCTTCACACCTAAGGTTTGTGAGGTCACTTCTGAGCTTGAGATGCAGCACAGAGATGCCAACATTTTGCATGGAGAAAAACATGGTATTGGGAATACAGTACTGGAGTTTCAGACCAGGTCATCTTCCCCCCATCCCCAGTGGACATAAGAGTTCAGCGGGAAGCCAGGAGCGACAAGGTCATAGACAATCTCAGAGTGACTTGGTAGGTCTCTGAACAAGTGTTAATGATTTGGTAAAATAAAAGCACTTTGCATGTGATCACATTTCAGTCAAGCAGATTACGAGTACTGGTCCACAGGATGTTTTATGCATTTCATCTGTCATATAAAGGAATGCTTGTTCTGCCATGCAGCAGTTGGTAGCCCATGTTCACACACCCCATTTGACTTCAGGCTTGATAGCTATTCACCAGTTACAATGAATTTATAGAATATTCAAGGTTGGAAGGGACCTCTAGAGATCATCTACTCCAACCTTCCTGCTCAAGCAGGCACACCTACAGCATGTGGCACAGGGTGGCATCCAGGCGGGTTTGGAAGACCTCCAGAGAAGGAGACTCCACAACCYCCCTGGGCAGCCTGTTCCACTGCTCTGTCACCCTCACAGTAAAGTCATTCTTCCTCACCTGGAGATGGATCTTCCTGTGTTTCAGCTTATTTATTAAATTTGTTATTTGTTTCATGTTAACAGTTAGCGCTTAAAGAACATGGCACGTTTATTTTCCTGTGTTCCCGTGACGACACCAGATACAAAAGGACATTGTTTTTTTCCTTTACACCATTGAACGTTGTAGCAATCTTAACCACTTTATCCTACACAAATTAGGAGTCCTATCCATATCCTACACAAATTAGGAGTCGAGGCCAAGAAAACTACCAAGAGCTACCTACCTGTCTTGAGGACTGAGCTCTTCTGGACCTCAGCTATTTTCGAAGGAAGGAGGCGCATGCGGCTGCACAGGATGAATCAAGTGTGTCGTGTTYAACTTCATTTGGACCTGCAGAGCCTCTTGCTGCTGACGTCTGCTGAGAACTCACCTTGCCCCCTTGCCTCGCCTGCTGTGGGCACCAGAGGCTGAGGCCGGCAGCGCTGGCTGGGCRAGGGATGGGCTCAATGGGCTTTCAAAGGGCTGCGGCACTTCTGGTGCCAGAAAAGACCACGGATTTGAGTAGGAGGTGTCGCTTTGGTCACCAGAAATACACTGTGTGTGCTCCTGGCAGGGGTGGTCTGCACCCTGTGCAGTGCAGGTTAAAACATAGAAACTACATGCTATTTTCTCCTCTATCAGGATAAGGGAGTGAGTTAGATAGACTTACTGCATGCAAGARACAAGTTCTGGCAATTCCGTGTTGCAGGGAAAGTGCAATGGGGAAAAGTTATGTTTTGGTGCACATTACACCTACTAATTTCCAAGTGTGCTGTGAGAAAGCTGGTTGAAATTTTATACTAGTTCTTCCCTGCACGTATCTGGATCATCTGTTGGAGCCTGTGAGCTGAACTGGTTTAGTCAAATATTTTCTGTGCTCATTGGGACTGCACATTAGCACTCAGAGAGCTCGTGGCTGCGAGCGAGGGACAAGCGTATGGCTGCTTCCGTGTTAAATGCAAGGCCACGTCCCTGAGCAGCGAGCAGCCTACCTGCCTGCCAGCTCGGCGCCGAAGCTGCAGCTCCGATCGTCCTCTTTTCCGGGGACTTCATCCTTTCTGGTGGGAAGGGGTAGCAGCACCGGGAATCTGTAAAGAAAAGGGGTCGGGGTGAGTTTGCAGGAGGGAAGTGTTCCTGAATTTCAAGCAAATCCTGGAGTCACCTGTTTACTTGAGCTCCGCTGGCCAAAAGGCTCTGCACCCTGCAGTTTGCAACACTGGTAAGAAATTTGTTCCCCTGCTGCTGGGTGACGCTGGGAAAASGCTGCTGGCACCATCTCTACTTCCTGTCTCAGCTGCCCCCTCTCTGGAGGCACCTCTGAAGAGCACTAAGGCAAAGATCAGGCTAAATTTGTTTACAGGGCAAGTAGCGGTGTTTTGTTTACAGTAGTGCCATAGTCCCTGGCTCCCCGGGTCTAGAAACAAGCCTGTGCCATTACAGCCAGGTCAAAAGAAGTCAGCTGAGTGCAGATGTATTTTTTCTTTCTGAGAAACAGGTTTGCTGGTTAATACACCCTGATCTGTGTGGCTTGCAGAGGAGGCAGGTGCTCCCCTGGGGCTCGGTCAAGGCCAACTTCACCAGGTCGTGCGTCGCGCTGGCTGCCTCGGCCTGTTCAGCAGCAGATCTCTGCTGAGGACAGTCGCTTTGCTGCGTCAGCACAAACGGGCTGTGCTTGTAACCGTGCTGCAAGTGGCCTGCACTAAAACCAGGACATGAAAGGAGAAGASAGCCGTGTTCCCAATGCTTAGTAACACACCTGAGTGCTGGCACGGAGCTATCGGAATCGGAAATACCCTTTGCAGTGCTCGGGGCCCTTCAGCAACGGCCCTGCTCAGTGCGGCCCGGCAGCGGGGCAGCCCCTGGCTGSTGTGTGAATGACTCCCGAGCACGGTGCTCGCCAGCAGCTGGAGGGGCCCCACGGCCTCGGGGCAGGCCCCATGGCTGAGGCCTCTGCTGTGCCCCGCTGCGGCGCTTCCCTCAGGTCCTGTGTCTGTTCATCATTACGTGCAAAAACCCCTTTCTTTAGCCAAACAGCTCAAGGCTTTTACCACACGTCTAATGGAATATTAACGTACRTGAGGGTTTTTAAACCTGTCTTGAATCCTGGCTCTGTTGACTGAGAACAGCCACTAAAGGCTTTGTACTATTGGGGGGGCGTTGTAAAGGGTAGGGTTTTTTTTTTGAAGTTGCTTGTTTTGAGGTTGTACCACKCTGTGGGCCGTTCCACGGAAGATCACGCTCCCTAGAGGGAGAAAGGAGGAATGGGAATTAAATGGATATTAAATGGATGTTAAATTTGATGGAAATGAGCTGAATGCAAACAGCTTGTGCTCCTGCCTGACCGAACTCCCTGGTAAGTCCCGAAGAGCCTCTGGCTTTGGCAAAGCTAACGGAGAAGATGCCTGGAATGAGTCACAAGAGGAGGAAAGCGAGTTTGAGAGCTGCAGCAAGTGATGGACCCATCCACCTGYCCTCACGTCTTGGGAAAGCAAATGCTCCCTCCAGAGCCCCTTCCTTGGAGCGGGGAGCGACGCTCCTCCCGTGAGGAAATCCAGAGGCATKGCGAGCTAAGCTCCTCCCCAGCCTGCCTTCCTTACCTACACGTATTGTAACTGCTGCTATTATAAATGTACAAGAATATACAAAGACTACCAAGAARTTTTATGATTTAAAAAAATTGATCTTTTATATTTATATGAAAAAGTGTATCCCATAAACAGCCTAATTTAATACAGCTTTATATGTGTAGCTTTTTTTTTAGAATTTGTCATTGCACGAGGCAAACAAACCCAAAAGTTAAGTGCCTTGAGTATCCTAAAAGGTGGGGGAATAGAAAGGAAAGCCTTAAATCACAGGTGCCCCCAGAGGCTGGCGCTGACTGTATTTTGTTTTAGCCGGGATTTCTCTTGCCTTTAGGCTCTGTTCATTTATAACATATCTGCAAGTTATGGCATTAACTGAAAACCGCTAAGTTCTGAACTTTTTTAGAGCATCTACATCTTGAGTTTGCCACGGTGGAGTTTCTCTTAGATGCTCTACTCGCTGTGAATTTTGATTTCTATACCCATATCCCTTTCCACATCTCACTATTCATGCACAATGCCCTGCACTAAAAGCAAATGCCAGCAGCTCATGGTATGTATCTGGGGATTAAACTGACATTATTTTCTGACTGTCACTACAGCGTTTCTCACTGAAACCGTAAGAATTTTGTGCTCTTACAGAAAGTCTTCACCAATCACTTCTCAAAGCATGGTTTTCTAGCATTAAGTGAACTGCAGGAGCTGGCTGATGACAAAATAGTTGGAGGGTTTCACYTCATTTTCAGGCCTTCAAAGTGCAGATTTCTTTAACAAACCCAAATTGTTTGAAGTAACTATGTTTTTGGATAAATATCTGTAAAGTTAACAAATGCTGCATTTGTACTGTAGATTTTGTGGATTTGTTTTATAACAAATATTTTTGAAAGATGCGATGACCATCCCTTTTCATGAGTGATGCTGTTTCAGCACCTGCCACAGCGACAGCGAGTCCCGCCTTGCGGCTGTCCTGGACATGGGGATAAGGGCAGTGTGGCCATGTCCTTACTYGGAATTTTGAGATGTACAGGAGTGGTGGGAGCAGGAGGTGCAGATGTTGACATGCAT